TCCACTCTATCAAATGCCTTCTCTGCATCAATTGACAAGAGCACCACCGGGGCCTTCCCTTTTCTACTTTTCTGAATAAGCATCAGGGTTCTCAGGCCCGTTATCTCTACCTTCTCTCCCGGTACAAAGCCCACCTGGTCTCCATGGATCCATTCAGGCATAAGATCTCTCAACCTGTTTGCTAACACCTTTGCATACAGTTTAGTGTCTGTGTTCAATAATGAGATAGGTCTATAGCTGGAGCACTGAGACGGATCTTTTCCCTCCTTGTGGATAAGTACTACATGGGCCTGTAGGGATTCTCTCCTCACTTCCATCCCACCTCCCAGGGCATTCATATATTTCTCCAACTTGGGTAACAGTACTTCACTAAATTTCTTATAGTATTTAACTGTATAGCCATCCGGGCCTGGGCTTTTCCCCCCCCACTGTGCCTTTTAATGCTATTTTAATTTCTTCCCGGGAAATTTCTGCATCTAGGGTGTTCAACTGTGCTTCACTTAATTTTTGGTAATCCCGCATTTTTTAAGTATGTCATCTTTTTTTCATTGATTCCCTCTTGAACTACTTTTAGAGGGCCTTGGGGACTAATATTATATAACTGTTTGTAATACTCCGTAAACACTTTAATAATCTCTTTATTTGAATGGACCAACTCCCCCTTTGAACTTTTTATCTTTTCTATATAGTTCCTATTTTTCTTTTTATTCAGGGCTCTCATTAGATATCTTCCTGGTCTATCTCCCCATCTATATCTCTCGTTCAAAACCCTGTTGTATACTCTTCTCTTCTCCTCATCCATCAACCTCTCTAGTTCATCTTTTTTATCCAATAACTTCTGTCTCGTATCTTTTGTTATTTTCTTCTTTATGGATCTGCTCCAAGTCCAATATTTCTTTTAAAAGCCTACTAACCCTCTCTCTTCTTTCCTTTTTCTTCCTTGCCCCTGCCGCTATCAAGATTCCTCTTATAAATACCTTGTGGCTTTCCCAGACTTTAGCTATCGATACCTCCTCTGTTTCATTCTCCTTAAAGTATACCTTTATCTCTTTCTCGATTTTCTGAACTAAATCCTCATCCAAAAGAAGAACCTCATTTAACCTCCACCCTAATCCTCCAGTCCACCTTCTTCCCCATCCATTTTTTCATTACGACCGGAGCATGATCCGAGAACGTCCTTGTCTCTATGTCAATTTTAACCAGATGGTCTATAAGTTGATGATCTATTAAGATGTAATCTAATCTCGAGTATATCTCATGTGCATTAGAGAAGAAGGTATAGTCTCTGTCCTTCATATGCTTTATTCTCCAGGTGTCCACTAGTTGATATTCATGCATCACTTTTTTCAAAGATCTCAGAGACCTACTCCCCTCTCTTTGCACGGAAGAGGTATTATCCTTTTTGTGGGTCCATACAGAAATTTAGGTCTCCAGCTACTATCAGGCGCCCTTTTTTAAATTCCATTAATTTTTTCAACAAACTTTTCATATACATCTCGGTTTTTTATTAGGGCAGTATATGTTGGCTAAAGTACACTCAATCCCCTGAAGTTTACCTTTTAAAAATAAAAACCTCCCCTCCGGGTCGGTTCTTCTATCTTCCAACTCGAATCTCATATTCTTTGCCAAACCTATTGCAACCCCTTTTGCTCTTTTAATTGGGGAATCTGCATAATACCATGTTGGGTAGTATTTAGATTTCAACCTCACGTTTGCCTCTATCTCAAAATGCGTCTCCTGTAAAAATACCACTGACGTAGCCCTATGATGTAACTCATTAAATAGCCTAAATCTCTTCCTTGGACAACTCAGTCCGTTTACGTTATAGCTTATAAACTGTATTTCTTCCATCATTCCCAATTAACTCCATCTCTCTTCCAGATTGCCTCTTCCTCTTTATCCCATCTGTCATGCAGAGTATTAACCCAATACCTCCTCCCCTCCCTCCCTCCCACCCCACTCCCATACCCCTCCTCCCTCCCTCCCATTCCCCCCTCCCCCCCTACCCCCCCCCCCAACCCCCCTCTCCCTCTCCCTCCCCCCCCGCCCTCCCCTCACCCCCCCTCCCCTCCACCTCTCCACCCCCCCCTGGCCTCCTATGCCTTTGGATCATATTCCACTTTTGATCCCTCTATAGGGGTTCGACTCTACCCATGGACCGCTTACCGTCCCCCCCTCCTCCCGATATCCCCTTATCTATTGTTTCTCTATTTCCTCTTTTAACCAGCTGCCACTTTCCTGTCCACAATATCCAACTCTCCCTCCTCCCCTTCCCAGCCAGATATCATAGTTTGTCTCTGCAGTCCAAATATGTCACAAAAATTCTTCCATATCCTCCGGGAATCTTAAAATAGCTGTTATTCCATCCCTCCACCCAATTAAGCTTAAATCACGGCCCCATCTGTATTTCACTCCTTGTTTTTTCATCGTTTCCAATAGGGGTTTCAGTGCTCTCTTCCTTCTCAGAGTTTCTACTGTCAAATCTGCAAAAATTTGGATATTATTTTTCCCAACCCATATGTAATATTTGATCTTCCTTTGATCTTTTTCCATATCTTTTCTCTATCTCCATAGTTGTGAAATTTAACAATTATGTCTCTTGGTTTTTCTACCCCATTTCCTTGTTGGTACTTCCCAATCCTGTATACTTCATCCAGTTTAAACATCTCCTCATCCGATTTATCCATTATAAAGTTCAAGATTTTACCAGATAGCTCTTTTAGATCTTCCCCCTGTGTCAATTCCGGTACTCCTCTAACTCTGATATTATTTCTCCTTTCTCTAGTTTCTTGTTCTTCCATCCTATAAAGCATTCTCTTATGTTCTTTTCTATCTTCAATTATCCATTTCTCTAATTTTGGGATGGTCTTAGCTTGGGCTTGTACCTTCTCCTCCATTTCCTCCACCCTAGTTAGTAATTGTCCCAGATCTTCCCGAATCATCCCCATCTCTTGCTTTATTGAATTTTCCAAACCTTTAAACATCTCCGCCATTTCTTTTTTATTAGGTAGTTGCATATCTCTTTCCAGCTCTCTTGGTTCCATACCTTCCATATGACTATTGTAAACTGGGCCCAGGGAAAGTCTTGGGCTGTTATCCAGACTTATTTCTGATTCACTTTTTTCACTTATTCCCTGGGTTCTTTCTGGGGTAACATTTCCTTGTGACACATACTTCTTAATCGTACCCGTTTGGGTGTTCTTAGACCCACTCCCTTTGATATTTTTACCTTTCATGCTGTAGTTTGGGAATTTTTAACTCTTATTTCCTGGAACTCCTGATCTTTTACTCCTCCAATCTTCAGACCTGTCCCAGGAATCCCCTATTTCTTTTATTTTCTGTTTGAGTATTTAGTCACAGTTCTTTTTCCAGGCACCTCACAATCTAGTGCAGGAATTCAGAATATATAAAAGTCTAATATACAAAACCGATGTATATGCAGTGTAAAAGAGGACCTGCAGGATAAACCCACGGTCCTCACTCACCCACCGCGTTGGAGCTTCACTTCAGAAACAGTCCTCCTCTGTGTTTAAATCCGCTTGTCTCCTCTTGAAGGGATTCCTAGGGGTCTCTCGTAGTTCATGCAGCTTATCCTCCCTTTACATTACAGGCCCCCTTCGATTAGAGTTAGTATGCAAGTTAGTAGTAAAATAGAGAAAGGAGTAGAGTGGGGGTTAAGATGTTTAACTGTTTTATAAGAATGAGCATGATATTATATGCTTGTGGAGCTGTAAAATTATAACTGATATGGAGATGATGGAATTGGTGTAGAATTAGGGTGGAGATAGGTTGGATATAGGGGGTAAGGAGATAGTATGTTCATATGGATATTATATCTATTGAGGGTCAGTATGTCTGTTACCCTCAGCTGGTTTACCCATTTACTGAGATGCCGGACATTCCCTCTCTTTCTCGGGGCTCCCAGAGCTCCTCACGTGTCGGAGTCAGTGTCGGAGTCAGTGTCAGCGACTCTCCAATGTCCCAGCTGACCCACTGACGTCTCCCTGGCAACCCTGTTCCTCCTCCGAAGCCGCCTCTGCAAGACGCCAGACACCAGCTGAGACCACGAGGCGTCTCTCTCCCGGCTCTCCCCCAGTTCCAGGCCGACCGGTCGTCTCCTAGGCAACCCCACTCCTCTCCAGCCACCGCTGTAGAAGGGTAGGAGGGAAAACCCCGAGGTGTCTCTCATGCAGCACCCTCCCGATACTCCCGCCGGCTCCGACCGTCCCCGGGACTCCGCCGGCTCTCTCCGACTCTCTCCTGCAGGTGAGTCACTGCCTTCAAAGCAGCTGGTCCATCCGACGAGGCTTCATAGGGAAAAGCGGAGGGGAAGGCTCACGGAGAGTGCTAAGCTACACTATCTCCTGTGCCGCCATGTTCAGGCTCCACCCCTCTGGGACCAGAAGTCTTTGAGGCCTTTGCAGTACCAGAAGACGTGATTCATCTAGTCTTCCTTCTTCTGATGTCTCCAGCACAATGGGGAGCTCTGTGGGAACAATTTATGTAGGGTTTTTATACCATCTAGTTAAAATTTTGTAGCCTGTCTGTTGGGTCTTAGAAGAGATGGAGGCCTTATGGGCCATTTTGTATGATCTTGTCTCTGTGCTGTTCTGTGAAGATAGTGCCTAGGTCACGCTCCCATCTTGCAAGGTACTCCAGGGGCAATAGGTGTGATGGGTGTGACAATATACGATAGGACTGAGATAGGCCGTGTGGTATCGCCTCTTCAGAGGCGTGGAGTTGGGTAAGAAGGTTACTTTTCTCCAATGGTGGGTTAAAAAGTGGTGGAATTGCATTGCCTTCGACAGGGGGAGAGGAGACTCGAACATAGTTCAGATTTCGGAAGAAGTGTTTATTCTAAGATTGCAAGGTAAAGGAGGATTAATTATATATTTTAACAAAGCTGAAACACATGGACTCTGGCAGACAGAATGAAGAGGATATAAATTAGACAAGAGTTGTGCACTGTTCTTAAAGATTATTTTTATAATATTTTTCAGAGTGAACTGATCCGATACAGGGGATACCCCAGTGAGGAGTATGAGGTGGTCACTGAGGATGGTTATATTCTGAGCATCAACCGAATACCGCATGGGATCAAGTATCCACCTACAGGTATGTACATATTATATAGTAGTGTATGTAGTATGTGGGGGGAAAAAAAAAAAAAATATATATAAATATATATATATATATATACACATCTATATAAATATATATACACTATATTGCCCAAAGTATTGGGATGCCTGCCTTTCCATGCACATGAACTTTAATGGCATCCCAGTCTTAGTCCGTAGGGTTTAATATTGAGTTGTCCCACCCTTTGCAGCTATAACAGCTTCAACTCTTCTGGGAAGGCTGTCCACAAGGTTTAGGAGTGTGTCTATGGGAATGTTTGACCATTCTTCCAGAAGTACATTTGTGAGGTCAGGCAATGATGTTGGATGGGAAGGCCTGGCTCGCAGTCTCTGCTTTAATTCATCCCAAAATTGTTCTATCAGTTTGAGGTCAGGATTCTGTCAGGCCAGTCAAGTTCCTCCACCCCAAAATCACTCATCCATGTCTTTATGGACCTTGCTTTGTGCACTGGTGTGCGGTCATTTTGGAACAGGAAGGGGCCATCCCCAAACTGTTCCCACAAAGTTGGGAGCATAAAGTTGTCCAAAATGTCTTAGTATGCTGACTCCTTAAGAGTTCCCTTCACTGGAACTAAGAGGCCAAGCCCAACCCCAACCCCTGAAAAACAACCCCACACCATAATCCCCCCTCCACCAAACTTTACACTTGGCACAATCCAGTCAGGCAAATATCGTTCTCCTGGCAACCGCCAAACCCAGACACGTCCATCAGATTGCCAGACAGAGAAGTGTGAATCGTCACTCCAGAGAACACGTCTCCACTGCTCTAGAGTCCAGTGGCGGCATGCTTTACACCACTACATCTGACGCTTTGCATTGCACTTGGTGATGTAAGGCTTGGATACAGCTGCTTTGCCATGGAAACCCATTCCACGAAGCTCTGTGCGCACTGTTGTGCGATTCCAAAAATAGTATAGCAACTTTGCCCTGCATTTCACAAGGCATGGCAGCCCATTCAAATGTTCTGCCGTACCTGCGCAAACTGCAGCTCGCACAGCTGCACATAATTTGAATCTAGCCTATGAGAAATATAAGGGCTGTCATTTCTGACATCCTTCTGAAAATGCTAGCTGCCTAACTCTAATGCCAATCCTCAGTACATGAGTAACTAACCCAGAACAACTATACATATCAGGAAAGTCAGATCTCCTGATCCGTATACTTGCTGTGGTTCAGTGATGCGAGGTATTGAAGACAGGAGGTCATAATAACAGTCAGACAACTAGCAGTTGCAGAATAAAAAGTCAGTAAACTCCATGTTTCTCTCAGGAATGGTTTCTTGTAATATAGCTTTAAGATTTGATCATGGATTTTCCCAGGAGTTAAAGTGGTTCTAAAGGCTTACATTTTTTTTAAAATTACAAACATGTCTATACTTACCTGCTGTGTGCAGTGGTTTTGCACAGAGCAGCCCGGATCCTCCTCTTCTCAGGTCTCCCACCTGCGCTCCTGGCCCCTCCCTCCTGTCGGGTGCCCCCACACCAAGTAGCTTTCTATGGGGGCACCAGCTGCTCTCTGTGTCCATTCACACAAGGAGCCGCAGCTTGCCCCCCCACCCCTCCCATTGGCTCACTGGCTGTGTTTGACAGTAGTGGGAGCCAATGGCTTCAGCTGCTGTCTTAGCCAATGAGGAGAAAGAGTTCCAGGATAGCTGAGAGTACAGTGCACATGGCTGGATCGAGAGGGGGCTTAGGTGAGTACTGGGGGGGATGCTGCACAGAGAAGGTTTTTCACCTTCATGCATAGAATTCATGAAGGTAAAAAACCTTGAGCCTTTACAACCAATTTAAAGGAGAATTACAGGTTTTAAAAAAGAAACCAAACATACATACCTATATCGCTGCAGCATAGGTCCGATCCTGCAGCTTACCCCCCATCTGGGTGGATCCCAACATTATTGGCAGGATCCCTGCAGAGTCTTGACCGGCTGTGTGATGCCTTTAGCCTGCTGTCAACTGAACCTGGGTCACAGGCATGCAGAGGTAAGTTCTGTGACCCATCTGAGAAGTATGCACAAAAAAATCTCTTTTAGGGCAATCTATCAGTAGAGAAATATGGAAACTGCTGACTAAAAGAAGCAGATCTCATGGCAGGCAATCAGTTTTTACGTCTTGTTATTGTTACTTCACCACAAAAAGATTTACTGACTCCAAGCAAGCAGGTGCATATTAGGTGTCAGGACAGGCTCCCAGAGCATGAATCTTTAAAACCAATCAAGCACTGATCACTCTTGGCATGTTCCTCCTAATGCATTGGAACAATACATCCCCATACTTGTCAAGTTCTGTTCACCATGTTTGTTTTGCAAGTCCGCTACACACAGGTAGAGTAATGCATTTGTCTGCAGTGTCTTTTATATACTTATACATATCCACTAAACATGAACTATGGCACCTGAGAACAGAAGGAGTAATTAGGATAAGTGCAGTAAGTGCTCTTATCCTGTAACATTAGGTCCTTGGCCAAGTTTAGTCCTTGTGGAGGTTATTAGTACAAGTCATAAGTGCATTAAAGCAATATTCAACCCAAAAGCAAATGTATTATATTGCACCTTACCAATTCTTAGATGTTATGTTTTCTTTTTTAGCCTTTCTTTTAATGTCACCTTGTGATCTGCCCAATAAGTCCGTTGCTTTTAAACAGAACAATCTCTCCTGCAAATGTATCAGTTTAGATGGTTACAAAGGCTGTATGTTTTTACCTTCATGCATTCTATGCATGAAGGTAAAAACCTTCAGTGTGCAGCTCTACCCTCAGCCCACCCTGATACTTTCTTGACCCCCATCTCAATTCAGCGATATGCATGAGAGCAGCACCATTTCTAGGTCTCTTGCCACTGCTGTCAATCACAGTCCGTGAGGAGGGAGCGGGGCTGTGTGGTGCTCTGTGGGTCTTATAGACACACACAGAGGTGGATCAGAAGCAAGCACTCATGGAGCACTCAGGCACTCAGCAGGGGGAAGGAGCCAGAAGCGCCGGTGGGGGACACGAGAAGAGGAGGATCGGGCTGCTCTGTGCAAAACCAATGCACAGAGCAGGTAAGTATGACATGTTTGTCATTAAAAAAAATTATGTGAACCTTTTGGTATCACTTTAAGAGGGATGAGACAAACCATTTACTACTGACGGGTGCTTACAATGATCAGCTTTTATTCATTCATGTAAAACCTTTATCCCAAAAGAAGAAAAAAAAAAAGGCTGTTGCTTTCACTGCTTGTATAACTGCAGTCTGAGTTAGAGCATGGTTTACATTTTTTAATGTATCTAAATCTGCTAGTATCTAAATCTGCTAGTACATCTAACACTACCTTTCCCTGAGACTGACAATGCTGCTGTCTGCTGTACCTCCTGTGCTCCTTCATCCAGAGTGGAGGCACTCTAATACAGGATGTGTGCTATTGGCCAGATAACCAGGTGAAAACAGGGAGGGATAAAGCTTTTAAAAAAAAAACAAAAAAAAACTAATGTAGTCACCATATCTAATGATTGGTAAGCTGCAATATATTACATTTTTGGTTTGGGGTTTGATGCTGCTTTAAGGACACGCTACAGGAAAATGCTGATGAGTCACAGACACAGGTACATGGAGTTATACTATACCTGCGGGGAGATATGGAGATAATAGTTTCCACACTGTGGCAGTTTACTCTTGCAGTAATCTCTAATGAGACATATGACAACATCACCGTATTACTGGAGCTTATACAGCATATTACTGTCCTGATGGCAGATTGTAAGCTCTAATGAGCAGGGCCCCCTGTTTCCTCTTGTACCAAATTGTATTGTAACTATTTTATTTATTATTATTATTTTATCGAGTTTATATAGCGCCAAAGGGTTTGCTCAGCGCTGTACAATAGAGGGGGGGACAATACATGAAACAGTACAGTAACAACATACAGTACACAAGGGGTAAGAGGGCCCTACTCTTTCGAGCTTACAATCTAGGAGGGAGGGGGGTAGAGGTACAGGAGGAAATGGCTGTGGGGGATGGAGTGGCAGGAGGAGGGAAGGGCAGCGGCTGTTAGGTGAGGGTGGGGTAGGCTTCCCTGAAGAGGTGGGTTTTCAGGGAGCGCCTGAAGGTGAGGAGGGAAGGTGACAGTCTGATGGATTGGGGTAGTGAGTTCCAGAGGATGGGGGAGGACCTGGAGAAGTCTTGCAGTCGTGCGTGGGAGGAGGAGACCAGGGAGCAAGATAGAAGGAGGTCCTGTGAAGAGCGAAGGGTACGGGTAGGGTGGTACCTGGGAATCAGGTCGGTGAGGTAGTTAGGGGCAGTGTTGTGAATGGCCTTATAGGTCAGAGTGAGCAGTTTGAATTTAATGCGTTGGGCAATGGGGAGCCAGTGGAGGGAGAGGCAGAGGGGGGTGGCAGAGGTGGAAGTGGTTGGTGAGGTGGATGAGTCTAGCCGCTGAGTTCAGGATGGTCTGAAGCAGGGAGAGCTTGCACTGGGGTAGGCCGGTGAGGAGGGAGTTGCAGTAGTCAAGGCGTGAGATAATCAGGGAGTGTACGAGTAGTTTAGTGCTGTCTGGGGTAAGGAAGGAGCGTATCTTGGCGATGTTCCGGAGGTGGAGCCTGCATGTGTTTGTAAGTGATTTGACATGAGGTTGAAAGGAAAGGTTTGAGTCCAGAATGACGCCAAGGACCTTGGCATGCGGGGCGGGATTGATGGTGGTGTTGTTGGTAGTGATGGAAAGGATGGGGGGGGGGGGGGGGGGGGCGGGGGAAGGGGGAAAGACGAGAAGCTCGGTTTTGGAGAGGTTGAGCTTGAGGAAATGGAGCGACATCCAGTCAGAGAACTGTAATGTACCTTAATTTTGTAAAGCGCTGCGCATACTGTTGGCGCTATATAAATCCTGTATAATAATAATAATGTCAAATTTTTATTTGGGCATGCAGCTGCATCCTCCATGGTTATGCAGTTCATTTGGCACCAAAGCACACAGCTTTGTAACTTAGACGCAGCCATAGTGTTTA